GCAGGAGACAGGGAACTGCTCATGGACAGTCAGGAGACACCACCAGACACGGCCAAGCTAGTCATGGACAGTCCACTCGGTCAGGGTCCAGGGCAGCTGGCAGGCAGGAATCTAGTCACAGTGAGTCCAGTGACAGCGAGAGGCATTCGGGGGTGTCTCAGAGACACGCAGGATCCACTCATGGGCAGGCTGGATCCCAACATGCAGAGTCCACATCTACCCATGGACACTCAGGATCTAACATAGTAGAGCAACATGGGTCCAGCCATGCACAGTTACATGATGCTCATAGACAGTCAAGTGATAGCTTAAGGAAACAGTCAAGTCATAGGCATGCCCAATCTCAAATAAGTCATTCTCGGTCACAGATTAGTGGACGACAAAGACATGGATCAGGTCAAAGCTGGAGACATGGCAGCTATGGAAGTGCAGAATATGACTATGGGCAGTCTGGGTATGGGCCTTCTAGGGGCAGCACAACAAGCAGCCATACTTCTAGTCCTCTGAGGTCAACAGACAGAGCAGAATCCAAGCAAGTGTCTAGTCTTGGACAATCAGTTTCTAATTCTGACCAGTCAGGATCAAAAGCAACTGAAAGAGCAGGAAGACAAAGTTCACGTTATGGACAGGCAGATATAAGTTATGGGCAGGCAACTGATTCCCATAATCAGTCTGGATCTAGTAGAGCTACAGGGCAGGGATCTAGTCATGGGCATTCAGTAAAAACTCAGGAACAGTCAAGTGACCCTCATGTTCAATCTAGAAGGCAGGGATCTTCTCATAGCAGCCAGCCAAGCAACCACTCTCTATCAGGTCATAAAAAATCCTTATCAGCTTACAGCTATTCAGATTCTAGTTCAACTAGACGGCAGGGATCCCATAGTGATGGTAAAGTGCATTCAGAAAATTGGGGGGGAAAGATTCGTGAACAATCAGGATTGAGGCATAGACAGTCAGAGTTAAATGCAACAGGTATACAGGGATCCAGCCAACAGCAGTTGGGAGATACAACATCTCATGAGCCAGTAACATACAGCACAAATTTAGCAAGACAGGAATCAGCTGATGGACAATCAGGAGATATCCAGGGTCAATCTGGATTCAGCACAAATGAAAGACAAGTATACAGTCATGGCCAATCAAGTGATAGCCATGGGCAGACAAGTGGCAGTCACTCACCTGATAGCCAAGACCTTACAGGACCTGAAGAGTACAGATATAGGTATTTATCAAGCAGTACAACCATGCGGCATGGGGAAAGGCAAAAGGAAGAGAGTGGATCGAGTCTGTCAGGGAGCATGAGAAGATACTTTCAGGATGTGGAGGATAAGCAGACAAGCTACTGTGAGCCCAGGGGTTACCATAGAAGAGAGAGAACCGACTCAGGTTCCTTTCACTTAGATAGCAACACACCACTCTATGAATATGTCCAAGAACAAAGACGCTAATACTTTCAATAATAATTTGAAACCAACAGAAAACAAACTAACTCAAGAGAAAAACTAAGCCGAAGGAGAAATAAGACACACAACATGGGAGAAATAAGACACACAACATGGAATTAAGATATTTAATGTGATCCCTTATTTGGGTACTGGGGGTATATGTCTGACCCTTTGTTTTAATTCTACTACTGTATTATTTTCCTTTTGCTTGGTGCAAGGGTTTTTTGTTTTGTTTTGTTTTGTTTTTTGTAAGGCTCCATAATCATTGAGCTCTTTGATTAGAAAATAGTGGATGGAAGAAGTAAACTGCATTGGGGACTATATTTAGAACTGTGTGGTAAAGTAACTGGGTGCTCTGGAATAAAGTGAGCACTTTTTAAAAATTCCTGATACTCAAAGTTTGGATATTCCAGATTGTTTTAATTTATTGTTGATAAATCTATCCAAGGAGCTAAGAGGCATGGTTTAGGAGCCAAAATTTCCCTAGTAACATTGTAACACATTCCATATCCAAAGCAAAGAATGTTGTGGTAGTTGAAGATTCAGAATATTTGCATCTTTTGTGCCACCACTGGAACTCTGTATTGCTACTTTTGAGTTTATTGTCATGGCCTCCTGTATATAGGATCCAGAAAATTGTATTTCATGAAACTTGACAATAAACTTCTCATCAAGTTATATTTTCTCTCCTCTTTCATCCTCACAAACACAAACATAGCCTCCTGCCACAGGGTGAGATGCACATTTCTTTCTTCTACCTTTGGACACCTGGACGTCAGGAAAACACTCAGATACCAATAACAGGAAGTACAAAGAAGACAAGACAATCACATCTGATCTTTTCCTCAATCCAATTACTGCCCAAAGCATTTCCAGGAAGCAATGTTTTATACTGAGGAGCTGAACTCCTTTGGTTAATCATGATCATCTTAACGATCATGATCAAAGATAGTTCAAAGCGGCTGTTTCCTGAGACAACACAAATTCTGAAAATAAGAGTTATAAGTCACAGATTTTTCTCTGCCAAATATATTAATTGAAATACCTCTTAGCAATGAGGCTAACGGGGTCCTGAAGTTTCCAGTCAAATAAAAACAATTAAAAATACTCCTCCCTAGAAGGAAAAAGTACGTGAACTTATTATGAGTAGGAAGAGACATAACAAGGAGCAGAAAAATGTGTACACAAGATGGTAACTTCAGTAGGAAGTTTACTACTACGAAACCAAAAGAAAATGTCCACAAAATCAGAACTAGTACGGGCTTTAAAGATCATCCCCTTAATTTACAGATTAAATGAAAAAATCAGAGTAAAGCATATTTGGTCTAATCATAAAGGCTGCTAATTCCTCAAGTCGGAATTTGATGCTCCCCCATCTTCTCCTGCCAAAAAAACTCAAGCTACTTTCCTTCCACCTTCACTTTTGGAATTCAAACTAAAGTACAATTAATCAATGGGTGCTCAAGATTGCAAGCCAATATTGGCGACAAAAGTTATATTAAAAACCAAAAAATAGTCTCCTTCTTCTGATTAGACTTAGAACACAGGCTATCTAGTTTTTAATATTTTAAGAAGGACTGTAAAAACTTTCAGTCATGCGATTGACTCAGAACACTAGTCGTATTGTTTATTAGTAACAGGAAATAAAATTATTGTTATACTATTAATGATACACATAAAAATAACTGAGTATATGGTAGTTAACCCTACATCGTAACCAATTCATACAAATCTATCGATCATCATTAATTCACTGAATAAATGCTAATTACCAAAGAATCATTAGAAATTTAAATATTATGTTTAATCTCATCCAAACAATTTCTATTGTAGGTAAAGGAAATGAGACTCAGCCAATACTGTGCAGATAATTAGAAGCGCTGCTGTGACCAGGATATAGGTTTCTGATTCTTAAACTAAAGCTCTTTTCATCCTGTTAGGGGGTCTGCACTCATTCTACATTCTTCAGTCTCTAAGTACAAATTTAAGAGTGTCTAAAATTTTACCAGTCCCCTGAATCAATGTTAATTTGCCTTTATTGTGTGTGTGTGTGTGTGTGTGTGTGTGTGTGGTATAAGTGGAAAGGTCAAATATTTATTGGTGATTCCCATAGTCCCTTGATCACACTCATGTGAAATATAATGCAAAATAATATAATATTAAATAATTAAATATTAAAGTAAATATAATGAAAAAAATTATATTCCACACTGCTAAGCCCCTCAATAATTTGTGTTAATCAAATTGAAGGAAATCGTTCCTTATAAACTACACCAAAAGTATTCCAAAATAATTCAAAGAGAATTACATATTCCCCTTCTAAGATAAAAGGCAAGATAAAATCAAGATAGCGGGTGTGGTCTACACGAGAAAAGGTTGGAAAATGGGGTGACCCCATGTAGAGCCCCTGGGAACAACTGAATTCCTCAGATGCAGTTCTGTTGGGAAAAAGAGTCATAGGGTATACACAATTAAAGATTTCCCCTCTACTCCCACCTTGGGCCAGCATTCTATACATAAAACACCTCTGTGCCAAGGAATGCCAAGTGACGTCAAAGCATTCTTCATAGCATGTCTGTACTGTCGGGAAGGAGCATGTAGCACAGCAGAGAAACTCTGGCCAAATTAGGAGACATAAAGGTAAAATTCTTCTTTTCCCAGACTTTCTAGATAAAGGTGACATTTGAACGTGGGAAGTTGAAGGCCAGTTTGTACTAGATACACTGCATGCACTGGTTGCTTTGTTGGAGTATAAGTTATAGTCCTCCGAGTTGTGAGAGTTTATGACAACCAGAAAGGATCTTCTAACATAATACTACATGCAATCAAAGGTGAGTATATAAGCTGTGGGGGCAATGAGCAAGAGAAACTAGAACAGGAAAGGATGAAGATGGGAGCAATGCTGGATTTGACTGGAAATGAACCAAGCCAGTAAACAGAGGGCAGCTTCCTAATAATAAACTATTTGGCACGATTAAAAGGCCACTAACCCAGACTCTGAAACCTATTTTAAGCAACATCTTACCATCTTTGGGGAGCATGGAAAGTGAAAATGAATGAAGTTCTACTTAGAAGTACGTAGCAGCACCAGTAGGAAAAGTTAGTAAGTATTCTCTTTGTATTATGAAGTCATCTAGCACAAGAAAGTGTGGAATTTGTGAGGGATGTGTCTATTTTTAAAGATTATTTAGATATATTAAATTGTCTCTTATAGTGCCTATTCATTTCTCAGTGATGAACACTGATGAATATCTTGTGTCCTCCTACTGCCCAATAAAGTAACTAGCAAAAGGGTGAAATGGAGAATCAATCTCTATTGCCAAACACTTAGATGTGTTTCTGGCTTTTCTCTAGGACTGAAGCTTAAGGGCTGACTGGTTATCAGTGTTTCATTACAGCATAGACATGAAGGGTAGGAGAAGCGGTTTCCCATAGTGAGACTGTTAAAGGAGAGGAAATACAGAGAGGCTCTGAAGTATACAAACGAGGTGATCTGCTGGAGGGAAGGCAGGGGAACAGAACCTAAGGAGCTCAATAATTTAGATACCAGTGTAGGCAGATTACCCCCAGCTTACAGTTATTACTTCAAGGTTCCCCTAGGGCCGAGAGTCAAAAAACTGAGTTCCAGTCTACTTCTATTACTTGACTTAATACAAAACATTCAATATTTGTGTTATTTACTCCACTGTGGATTAAGGAAAGAAAATTAAAATTTATTGAATGCCTACTTACTGTGTTTCAGATACTTTCCCTACAACAACCTTGCAAATCAACAATTGTCTATACTTCATGGACAAAATTGAGGCTTAGAGAAGTTTTTTAAAACTTACTCAAATTCACATAGCTGTCATGCAGTCAAGTGGCAAAGTCAGATCCCACTCACTCAAAAGCCCAGGTGTCTTCTACTCACTTGGTCTACCTAACACAGAAAACTAACGCCCAGAGAGCATACATCAAGTGTTGGTTTCCCTTACTTTCTTTCCTCTAAAAATCAGCTATGTCTCTTCTTTTAGATAGATGGATAGATAGATAGATAGATAGATAGATAGATAGATAGATAGGCAGACAGTTAGATAATTTTTGAATTTTTTAAATGTCAAAGTCTTCACCATACCTCACTCAGCAGTTATCTTTTTTTCTCCTTTCTTAGGAGGGCTTTAATAAGACAGTAATTCAATCATCTTTCTTCTTCCTCTAATTCTCAGGATGAACTATATCAGCTCTGACGTTGTTTGTTGAATTGCTCGGCTGGCTGGGTGTCTTAAAACCCAATCAACCAGTACACAAAAAAACCACATCTCATTTACACTAATTCATTCCAAGAAGTATTAAAGGGCACTGAAGAAATTATTCCATTTGGTGCAATTTCAGGGCTGGACGAAGGTTATGGTGTCCGCCAAAGTGCACCATATAAGCCCTAGGTTTGAATGTTTGGGGAGTAGAGGAATACCCAATAGCCTTTATTTTCCAGCAACATTATTATCTCGTTCCTATTGCTTTTTTCTTCCAAATTTTTGCTTCACTCTTCCTAATACCTTTCCATTTTGTCAGGCTTAGCTAGCCAAGCCTGTAAGAACAAATGTTTGAGCTCCATCTATGGGTGACAAAATACTCACATTTCTACAGCTCTCCAACAAGTAATCTGAGAATGTGGGCTAGGCTGATCAGCAATCCCTCTCTGATTAGTTTGATGACAGAATCCAGATGATCTAGATAATGTGGGTGTTGTCAATGCAACATCAAGGTCACTTGTCTACTCATTCATTCACTGGAGGGAAGTTAATAACTACTTAGTTGACAGACATTATACTTGGCACTGAAGTTACAGATATGAGAAAGCCACTGTCCCTGTCCTTTAGGAGTTTACATATTCATCAGGGAGATCAACATATGAGAAAGCAAAAAATATGAATATTCTGGCAAGTGCTGTAATAGACATGATCAAGGGACTGTGTTTGCAGTGAAGTAATCAACTGATTTTAACTCTGATTAAAAGTGAAGAAACAGGATTCAAAGGAGTCTTAAGAGAATACTTTTGAAATGGGTCTCTAGAAATGGCCAGGAGTTATCCAGGATTGCTTGGGGAGACTACCCCAGGAATATATATTTTTTTAAATGTGTGTAAAGTCTTAAAGTAAGAAAGACCATGGTAAGCTAAGGGAATGTGAAAATACTTCAGCATACGTAAGACACAGGTTGTATGTGGCAGCACCAAGAAAGGATCTCAGAACAATAGGTTGGATCACAATGAACTTTGCAAGCCTTGCTAAGAACTTTAGTCTTTCAGAAATGAAGAACCATCAAAGGGCTTTTGTAAAATCACATTTCACAGTTTTTTGTGGTTTTGTGGGGTTTGTGTGTGTGTGTGTGGCAGAGAAGCAAGATTGGAGGTGTGGAGACCAATCTGGCAACTACTACAATAATCCTGGTAAAAGATGACAGAAGTTGCACAGGGTACATAAAAGGGGCTGAATGCAGAACGTATTTCTGAGATTTGCAATTGGATGGTATGTAGTGACTGAGATGAAGGTGCCTGAGATAACCTGCTCGATTTCTGGCTTGAGTCATCAAGTAGACAGAACACATGTATAGGGAGGGGAAAAAATGAAACTTTGATGAGAGACTAAACTTTGTTGATATTTTCTTTATTTGGCATTAAATTTGGGTCAGGCCATTGG